AGGATCGGAGGCGGAGAGGAGGAGGAGAGCTCCCCGTCCGGCGCTGGAATAAAGGTAAGTTTAACCCCTTTCCTCGCCATCCAGCCCGGCGGGAGGTGGTCCCTGAGGGTGGGGGCACCCTAAGGGCACTATAGTGCCAGGAAAACGAGTATGTTTTCCTGGCACTATAGTGGTCCTTTAAGGATTACATTGAAAGGTAGGGGAGGGACCAAATAAGTTGATCTCTCTAAGTCAAACAGAAGCGCCGCCCGCGGCAGACCTAGGTTTCTGTTTTCACGCATTCCAGCAAGCGGATGTTGGAGGGGGCAGAGCATTCCTGCACTGGAGAGGAGATGTTGTGGCTAAACCATCCGTGAACTCTTTAACCCCTAAAGAAAAGCCAGCATCAAAGACCGTCACTCTGGAACCATAAAAACTTAATTTAAAAAAAAATTATGGTGCCCAGAGTGCTCCTTTAACAAATCTACAAAACAATATTCCTGATTAAAGGGGCGCTCTCAGCAGGATTTTTAACTATATAATTACTTATTCACTTTATTTACAAATTGTGTGTTTGTGAGGCAAAATAGCTTTCAATCAAAACCACTCTATTTAACTCTATCCTGGCATTTGGCACCTCAATCTTGGTTCCCTGTATATCATTATAAATGTAATAAAAATTTTAACACAAGTTATAGGTGGTTTGCAATGGAGTAATCTCCAGAGAAGTAATAGTTATCATTTAAGAAAATGTAAGATAGTCTATTATTGGCTTCTTGTTAAAATGTTATGTAACAGCTCTCTTAGTGGGCATCATATTAAATACACAGTATATGTATTTAATATATACTATTTTGACATGAAATCAGCTGAAAAAGTCTTGTGAATTAGATGGGCTGTCAGAGAAAATTGTAAAGGATTGGTTCAGTTAGGGCATCATAATAAATATAGGATTGTACGCTATGGCAGACTTTATTAACTATAAATGATTATCTTTGGTTTAAATGTGGATAGTTACAGCTATTTGTCTTTGAATACTTGAAGCAGTGTTCCTATTCCAGAAACAAAAAAACCTTTAAAACAAGTAGGGTAATGTTAACTAAATGATCACTGGGAAATGAAAAATGAAAAATTATTAAACGAAAATGGAAAAAATAAATTTAAAAAAACCATATAATAATCATTTTTTCTGTAAGATTTTACATGTTTATGTAGAAACTGTATCAATGGATATCCATTAAATAAAGGATAAAACGCCCAGGCCATTTGCTGTGCCCATTTACCTTATAAGGTTGCAGTGATGTCATTAAGCATCTTACATCATAAACAGCTGAGGGCAGGTAACAAAGGCTTGCACCTTCTGAAGCCAGTCAGTGTATTGCTAGGATTACATCGTAAACAGGTACTCGGCAGATCTTATATCTATTATCAGAACAAACTGAAATTTTAAGGTTAGTACTGGACAATGCTAATATTTTAATGTCTGTGTTTGATTTCCTAGCATGAAGTCTGTCAAGCAGTATTACTGCCGCATGGACCTAAACAGGATCTGGAGGAGGATGGTAATGTATAAAAGGATGGAGTGATGATAAATAAGTTAAATAATAGATCAATTTAATACAGATCCAGGGACAGATTTGCAGCCGATCGCCTCATTATGGGGTCAGGAAGGAATTTTTTGCTTGGACATATTTAATATTACTAATGGTATGTCCAAGTTTTTTCGCCTTCCTCTGGATCATTTATTCACTAAACTTTGAATTGTAGCAAATTAAAATCTGACAGGGTTGTTCACTAAACATCACATTTTATCTGGAAGTCTTTTGTATTCTTGAAACCCCTCACAGTACAATGTTTATAAAATGTAAAAATGTTTAAAATATATGTAAGCTAAATACAAATGTATTGAAGATAAATTCACTAAATAAAATTAGAAAACTTTATTAGTTATATAGTTACTTTTCAATTACTATGGTTTACAATAATACAAAGACAAAGGACCTCTTACAAATATAAATCCTTAAAAATACATTTAAAACAATAATAATAATAATTTGCAATTTTTGTAGCGCTTTTCTCCCTGTGAGACTCAAAACATTTTACAAATATATAAAGCAGACATAAAAGCTAAGCGTTTCTGACAGTCAGAAGAGCTGACTGAATGCCTATCAAAAGTCGCAGGCCAATGTTAAAATATGTTTGCCATTTAATTGGAGGCCAATGCAGGGAGTGGAGAACAGGTGTAATGTGACATGATCGACTTTGCTTGGTCAGTAGTCTGGCTGCTGCATTTTGTACTGTCTGTAGGTGATGGAGTTCTTTTTCTGGGAGGCCCAAGTAGAGCACATTACAGTAATCTTGACAAGAGGACACAAATACATGGATTAATGGGGTTGCACAAGGCGTTAAAAACTCCTGTCACTTACCGGATTCCAGCGCCGATGCCCCTCCGCAACCAAAAGTCACCTGATGATCGGAAGTTCCTCTAGTGGTTGTCTGGTAGATCGCTACTGGAGGTGGGTTTAACCCTGGCAGGTATGTATTGCAGTTTTTGCAGGGTTAAGGGATCTCGGACACTGTACCCAGACCACTTCCATGAGCTGAAGTAGTATGGGTACCTACAGTGTCCCTTTAAGGTAGTTGTTATGGTGAGTATAGTCAGTGCCTGCTGGCTTTTTGTGTAAAGCCTGTCTTTTTAGAGAAAAGGCAATGTTTACATTACATCTCTAGTGGCCACTCCTCAGAGGTTCAGCTTCTCTATGCTCTGCGCTGCACTCGAGAGTTCACATAGAAAGTTAAATCGTTAACTTCCATATGTGCTAGGGTTTCTCCACTGCTGTTGTAGATAGTGTGCAGAACTCTGTTGGAGTGGCAGGTGAACTGCAATTCTCTGCTGTTGCGGTTGATGAAGTGCGGATCTCTGGCGTCTTGGCCGATGGAACATGGCCCTCCGCAGATGCAGCAGTGTAGTGCCGCTCTCTGCCATCGTGGCAGATGGAGAAGGGTCAGGCCCCTGTTGTTCTGCATCTTGGAAAAGTGTGTGGGTAGAGGAGCAGGATCCTGTTGGTGCATGTCACCGTGAAGTAGTCTGCCAGATATTTGAATTAGTCCTCGTCGGATTTGCTCTTGAGGCAGCATCGAGGCAGTCACCAAGTGCCTCTCCAATTGGGCCCAAAAGTCCTGAAATATTGCCAGTGAGGCTGTGTGCATCAACAAAGGTCTGTGTCAGGACCTGTGCCGCCGGTGAAGACTTTTCCGCCATCTTGAGAAGCTTAGGCATTCACAGGTTAATGGCAACAGCTGTCTGCTATTGAATGGGTAGCAGTGTAGGTCAGTCCAGCTGGAACGGGAATAACGCCCATCACTCTTCTGCCTTTCTCCAGCACAGCAGCCTGTAGGCCTCGGCAAGTCTCAACAGGCTCCCGAGTTAGGTATCGGTGGGTTAATCACAGCTACCCCACTTCAGTTTGCGTGGAATCACACAGATTTTATTGCAGTGGCTAAATAGATCCCCCAAAAATCAGTAAGCAAAGTGGGAGCTTGCCCAGTACACATCTGATCAGCACGTGTCTCAGGCTCCGCTCACCCTAGTTATTTTAACACTGTAGGATCAGGAATGCACATTTGTGTTTCCGACCCTATAGTGTTCCTTTAATAAACAGCCATATATAATTGACACTAAAATATATACTCCTCATTCCCCTGTAAGAATGTATTCATAAATATAATGCCAAGAGCCAATTGCAGGGCAATTTAAAAAAAAAAACGAAAAAAAAAATAATATGGAAAAGATATCTGAGTGGGAAAAAAGGAAAAGAAAAGAATGAAAGAAAAACAAAAATTAACAAAAAAAAATGAAAATATGAGAATAACAAAAAAAACGAAAAAATATAATGAAAAAAATATAAAAATACAACAAAAAAGTAAATATATATATACTGATATGGAAAAGAAAGCTAAATTAAAAAAAGAAAGAAAAGAATAAAAGAAATAAAACTTAAAAAAAGAACAAGAATAAAAATGAGAAAATAAAAAAACTAATTGAATAAAACTGAAAATATAAATAAAAAAGAAAGAAAAAATTATAAAACAAATATGAGAATAACAAAAGTAGAAATTGAAAATGATTTATTGAATATCTAAAAGAGCAATAAATTATTGAAAAATATATTAATGAATACATCTCCGAGGAATAATTGTTGATTTAAAAAAAAAAAGAAGTCTGAAGTCAATGTCTATATTTAATTCTCTGGCTGAAGGTTTTTTTTTTGTTTGTTTTTTTAAAGGAACACTAAAACATTTGGATACAAACCTGTATTCCTAAATTGTTAGTGTTCCTGACCTTAGTTATATAGGTCAGGTCGGGTTTTTGCTCTTCTGGCACCGATTACCTCTCTTCCTCCCGTAATTTCATAGCCTCCTCTGGCGTAGTCCAATCCAATGCTCCTCATAGGGGAACACTGGGAACCTGATGCACATGCACAGCAAACATCATACGCGTATCCAAGCTTCCCCATTTCCTATGGGGTCTTCCGTATCACGTGACCGATCAGCGCAGTGGAGACGCCTCCAGTGGCTGTTTAACCCTTTCAGGTAAACATTGCTATTTCTGCAAAATGGCAGTGTTTTACCTTGTAGGGTTAAATTAACAGAACCACTGCACCCAGGCCACTTCAGTGAGATTAATTTGCCTGGGAGACTATTGGTCCTTTCATTTATTAATCCAAAATGTTTCCCTTTTATCTAGTTTTTTATCATTATTATTATTATTATTATTATTATTATTATTATTATTATTGTTTCCTCCTCTTTATTGTGCTTGATCTTGTTAAATATCTAATAATGTGAGATATATAAACACATATATATTGTTATTTATTTACTTTATTTGCAAAAGGTTACAGTGTAAATTAACATGTTTCTAATTTATTTAATTTATGCTCAAATTACCTTGTTTTTTTAATCTCCAGGGTAGGTTCCAATGCATTGTTTGGGCTAACAAGATCACATCCTGTAAATTATAGGGAGAGTCTTTCACTCTCAGGACGTGGATATTGTCCAACTCCCAAAGAGGGTGCCATCCCCCAATAACCCAAGATATCTAGGGGTACCAAGCCTATTAAATAGATATGAGATATATATAACCATCAGTGAGGGCTAGTAAATAAATCAGGAGTGGTTAACAGGTCATGGGTTTTGGGTGGGGTGTGTTATCTAAATAAAGAGATGTAAACATGACATTGTTCACCCCCACAAATGAGAGTGCAATGCCCTGCATTAACCCCAGGTGTCTTATTGTCCACACGTCCACAGTTAGGAAATTTCTATCTGCCTCCTCACCCTAATAACAGTGAGGGTAGGCACAGTATATCTGATACCTGGAAATACTTACCTCATTTAGGAGAAGGGACAATGGTGTGTCCACTCCATACTTCATATATAAATACCATAGTAAAAGCCATGTGTAGGGGGTGATAAATGGCATGTCCATTTTTTTATTTATTTGAACACTATGCCCAAAGGCATCTAGTGCTGCCAGTGGGTAAATAGTTGTATAGTGAGCATAGTCAGTCACTGTCGGCTTTTTGCTGTAAACACTGTCTTTTCAGAGAAAAGGCTGTGTTTACATTACAGTCTAGGAACACTACTAGTGGTCACTCCTCAGACTGCCACTAGAGGTGCTTCCTGGGTCAGTGCTGCGCAGCACTGACATTCAGCTTCTCTACGCTCTGCATTGAGACACTGAAATTTTTGCACAGAGATGCATTTATTCAATGCATTTCTATGAGGAGATGCTAAATGGCCAGGGCGGTGTTTGGCTCCGCATCCACCCCTTCTCCTTGGATGAGATCACTTAAATTGACAATCTTAGCCAATCCAATGCTTTACTATGGTAAGCATTGTGATTGGCTGAGATCATCAATTCTGATGATGTCAACCAAGGAGGTTTAGGGTTGGAACCAGCAGCGTCGGATCAACGCGGCAGTGGCATAAAGTGGCATTTTTCAATGTTTAAGGGAGTCAAGGGGAAGCCAGGGGACCTAAATAGTTATTTTAACACTATATGATCAGGTATACACGTTTGTGTTCCTGACCCTATAGTGTTCCTTTAATAGACTGCAGTATATAAAATTGACACTAAAATATATACCCCTCATTCTCCTGTAAGTATGTATTCATAAATATAATGCCAAGACCCAATTGCAGGACAATTTCTAAAAAAAAAAAAACTAATATGGAAAAGATATTTGAATGAAAAAAAAATAAAAAAATAGGACAAACAAAAGAGTGAAAGAAAAACAAAAATGAACAAAAGAATTAAAATATGAGAATAACAAAAAAAATGAAAAAGTTAATTAAACAAATATTAAAATAGAACAAAATAAAAAAATATATATACTGATATGGAAAAGATAGCTGAATGAAAAAAAGAAAAAAGAAAGAAAAGAATAAAAGAAAGTAAATTTAAAGAGCAAGAATAAAAATATGAGCACAAAATATTTGAAAAAATACAAGAAAATAAATAAAAAAACTAATTGAATAAAACAGAAAATATAAATAAAAAAGAAAAAATATAAAACAAATATGAGAATAACAAAAATAGAAATTGAAAATGATTTTTTGAATATCTTAAAGAGCAATAGTTTATTGAAAAATATATTTATGAATACATCTCAGAGTAATAATTGTTGATTTAAAAAAAAACAAAAAGCCTGAAGTCAATGTCTATATTTAATTCTCTGCCTGAAGGTTTTTTTTTTGCTTTTTGTTTTTTAAAGGAACACTAAAACATTTGGATACAAACCTGTATTCCTAAATTGTTAGTGTTCCTGACCTTAGTTATATAGGTCAGGTCGGGTTTTTGCTCTTCTGGCACCGATTACCTCTCTTCCTCCCGTAATTTCATAGCCTCCTCTGGCGTAGTCCAATCCAATGCTCCTCATAGGGGAACACTGGGAACCTGATGCACATGCACAGCAAACATCATACGCGTATCCAAGCTTCCCCATTTCCTATGTGGGCTTCCGTATCACGTGACCGATCAGCGCAGTGGAGACTCCTCCAGTGGCTGTTTAACCCTTTCAGGTAAACATTGCTATTTCTGCAAAATGGCAGTGTTTTACCTTGTAGGGTTAAATTGACAGAACCACTGCACCCAGGCCACTTCATTGAGATTAAGTGGCCTGGGTGACTCTATTGGTCCTTTAATTTATTAATCCAAAAGGTTTCCCTTTGATCTAGTTTATTATTATTATTATTATTATTATTATTATTATTATTTCCTCCTTTTTATTGTGCTTGAACTCGTTAAATACCTAATAATGTGAGATATATAAACACATATATATTTTTATTTATTTACTTTATTTGCAAAAGGTTACAGTGTAAATTAACTACATGTTTCTAATTTATTTAATTTCTGCTCAAATTACCGTGTTTTTTAATCTCCAACATGTAGGTTCCAATGCATTGTTTGCCCAAGGGCTAACAAGGTCACATCCTGTAAATTATTGGGAGAGTCTTTCAACCTCAGGACGTGGATATTGTCCAACTCCCAAAGAGGGTGCCATCCCCCAATAACCCAAGATATCTAGGGGTACCAAGCCTATTAAATAGATATTAGATATATATAACCATCAGTGAGGGCTAGTATAAAAATCAGGGGTGGTTAACAGGTCATGGGCTTTGGGTGGGGTGTGTTAACTAAATAAAGAGATGTAAACATGACACTGTTCACCCCCACAAATGAGAGTGCAATGTCCTGCACTAACCCCAGGTGTCCTATTGTCCACACGCCCCTAGCCATCCCTTCCGTTATGAAATTTCTATCTGCCTCCTCACCCTAATAACAGTGAGGGTAGGCACAATAAATCTAATACCTGGAAATACTTACCTCATTTAGGAGAATGGACAATGGCGTGTCCACTCCATACATCATGTATAAATACCCTGGTCAGAGCCATGTGTAGGGGGTGATAAATGGCATGTCCATTTTTTAACCCCTTAAGGACACATGACATGTCTGACATGTCATGATTCCATTTTATTCCAGAAGTTTGGTCCTTAAGGGGTTAATTTCTTTATTTGAACACTATGCCCAAAGGCATCTAGAGCTGCCAGTGGGTAAATAGTTGTATAGTGAATGTAGTCAGTCCCTGTTGGCTTTTTGCTGTAAACACTGTATTTTCAGAGAAAAGGCAGTGTTTACATTACAGCCTAGGAACACTTCCAGTGGCCACTCCTCAGACTGCCACTGGAGGTGCTTCCTGGGTCAGGACGTTCAGCTTCTCTACGCTCTGTATTGAGAAACTGAAATTTCGGCACAGAGATGCATTGATTCAATACATTTCTATGAGAAGATGCTAAATGGCCAGGGCGGTGTTTGGCTCCGCTCCCACCCCTTCTCCTTGGATGAGATCACTAAAGTTGACAATTTTAGCCAATCCAATGCTTTACTATGGGAAAGCACTGTGATTGACTGAGATCATCAATTCTGATGAGGTCAGCCAAGGAGGATCAGGGTTGGAACCAGCGCCATCAGATCTGCGCGACACTGGCATAAAGTGGCATTTTTCAATGTTTAAGTTAGTCAAGGGGGGGCTAGGGGACCTAAATAGTTATTTTAACACTATAGGATCAGGTATACATGTTTGTGTTCCTGACCCTATAGTGTTCCCTTAGTAAACTGCAGTATATAAAATTGACACTAAAATATATACTCCTCATTCCCCTTTAAGTATGTATTCATAAATATAATGCCAAGACCCAATTGCAGGGCGATTTCTAAAAACATTAAAAAAAAAAAAATAACTAATATGGAAAAGATATCTGAATGAAAAAAAAGAAAAAAAAGGAAAAAACAAAAATTGAAAGAAAAACAAAAATGAACAAAAAAAATTTAAATATGCGAATAACAAAAAAATATAAAAATACAACAAAATAAAAAAAAAAATATATATATATACTGATATGGAAAAGATGGCTGAATGAAAAAAGAAAAAAGAAAGAAAACATAAAAAAGAGCAAGAATAAAGATATGAGAACAAAACTTTTGAAAATATACAAGAAAATACATTTAAAAAAATCATTGAATAAAACTGAAAATATAAATAAAAAAAGAAATAAAAAAATATAAAACAAATATGAGAAAAACAAAAATAGAAATTGAAAATGATTTATTGAATATCTAAAAGAGCAATAATTTATTTAAAAATATATTAATGAATACATCTCTGAGGAATAATTGTTGATTTAAAAAAAAAAAAAAAAGCCTGAAGTCAATGTCTATATTTAATTCCATGACTGAAGGAATTTTTTTTAAAGGAACACTAAAACATTTGGATACAAACCTGTATTCCTAAATTGTTAGTGTTCCTGAACCTAGTTCTATAGGTCAGGTCGGGTTTTTGCTCCTCTGGCAACGATTACCTCTCTTCCTCCCACAATTTCATAGCCTCCTCTGGCGTAGTCCAATCAAATGCTCCTCATAGGGGAACACAAGATGTAAACATGACATTGTTCACCCCCACAAATGAGAGTGCAATGCCCTGCATTAACCGCAGGTGTCCTATTGTCCACATGCCCCTAGCCATCCCCTCCGTTATGAAATTTCTATCTGCCTCCTCACCCTAATAACAGTGAGGGTAGGCACAATAAATTGAATACCTGTAAATACTTATCTCATTATTTTTTTAATGTATTTATTTATGTTTTAACACTATGCTGCCTAGCCGGGAAATAGTTCCCAGATTTAAAATATGAGCCTGGATTTTAAAGGAGCACTATAGGGTTGGGAATGCAAATGTGTATTCCTAACCCTATAATGTTAAAATCACCATTTAGGTCACCAGCCCACACTTGCCCCCTTAAATAAGGGGATTTTTTTTTTTAAATTTAAAAATAAATAAATACATTTACCTTTACTCCAGCACTACAAAGGGTCTGCTGGCATTGGCTCCGTCCCCAATATGCCTCCCTGGCTGAGATCATCAGAATTGACAATCTCAGCCAATCCAATGCTTTCCTACAGGCGGGGGTGGGATGACGCCAAACGCCGTGCTGGCATATCAGCATCTCTTCATAGAGATGCATTGAACCAAGGTATCTACATGAGGAAAGTTGTGCAGCACTAATTCAGGAAACACCTGTAGTGGCTGTCTGAGTGACTGTCACTGGAGGTGTTCCTATGTAACTGGAGGTGTTCTGAAAAGGCAGTTTTTACAGCAAAAAACCTGAAGGTATGGACTATACTTACCAGAACAGCTACATTAAGCTGTTGTTCTTCTGGTGAATAAAGTGTCCTTTTACGTGTCCGTTGCCCGCATTTTAGCCTTCTGGCTGAAATCCAGACAAACTTCGGACTTCTTATGAAGATAGTCTTTATTTTGCAATCAGAATATACACAGAATATACACAGTCGTATGGTTTTGTAAGGGGCCAATGAGACTTTAATGAATAACCCTGTCAGCAGTCAAATTCAGCCAAAAACAGACAAGTTATGACTATGACATCTAATGACTATAATTATTTTTGCCTAAATTTTGCCATCAGATTTTAATTTGTTACGATTTAGAGTTTAGCGAATAAACTGTTCATGAAGATTTTTTCCTTTTTGTATAAAAGGTTTTTTTTCTTCATTATAAATAAATAAAAACATTTTAAAATATTTTCTTCTCTCATGTTCTTTTATTGCAACACAACTAAATGGCTGATTTACTAAAAATTTAACGGAAAACCTCAAAACATCAGCATTCTGTAGTAGCTTTGTTGCCAGGAGTGCCGTGGCTTCAACCCAATCTAAGAACGGTTTTAGAATGGGTTGACTTCCCATCTGGGGTCCGCTGGTCACTGTCTCTCGCCAATAGTACAGCTGGCAGAGAGGCTGGAAGTTCTCTGTCTGTTTTAATCCTGGCAGTGTAGAGCTTAGCTGATTGGCTGACAGTGATCAGCTTACTCTCTAAGCCAATGAGCTAGCCATGTAGCAGAAGTTCTTATGTAGGAGATTCTGGCTCTCTGTTGAATGTAGTGATTGAATGTAGCATGCAGTAGTGGTTATGTTGGGTGTTTGGAGTGTTAGTTTAAAAATATTACAAATGGTGTTAAGAACCTCATAGTTGTAAAACACATTGACTGCTGGCACGATCTAATGGATGTAGGGATGGAGATGCATCAAAGTGGCGTTCATGCAAACAGATCTTTTGGAAGGGGTTTTCCACACAGCTATCAAATAGGGGGCAGCTATACAAACCATGTTCAGTTACACAGGACCCTTGCTAATCACAGATTATTTATTATTATAGCTTGGCTATATGAGAACAGTATAAGACTGGGAATATTGAATGGAATTGTCTAATGTAAAGATGTTGAGAGGTGACAGAGTTAATTAAACGGTTACTGAAAACATCATAACCACTTTATCCCAATGTAGTCGTTATGATATATGAAATTCCCTGGTCCACATACAGACTCCAGGCTCCATGGTGCTTTAAGTCAGTCACGGGTAGTCATAAATGGACGGTCCTTCATTTAAAGGTTGAATGTGGAGGGCAAAAAGTTTACGGTTTTTAAAGTAATGTGCAGAATATGAGGCACAGGATAGGAGCAGCACAGGAAGCAAATAGCAACTCAGACTTGTTGGTACAGATACAAAGAGGCAAATAAAAAGTATAAAAATGCCAAAGTCTAGTTCCTCCCTCAATTCCCATTTCCTTTTTTCAGTAATAACAGTTCTCTTCTCACAAATAACTTAACTGATCAATATCCCACCTGATGACCAGCTATACCTTACTGGACATCCAATTGACTAACAGGAATAGAACACACACACACACACACACACACACGTCTTATATTTGTGTATTATCCAAGACATAGCTCGGATGCCCAGTCCTTTATCTACAACCCATTTATGTAAGTTGCTTGGACCGGGCATCCTGCAAGCTTTGTACATCAATAAAGGAAAATACTAAATAAATAAGGGTGACTAAATATATAAGGCCAACTCATGAAACTACTATCAGATGTGGGCAGCAACACACAAAACTGAGCGATTTGTATATGAAAATCAAAATATCACTGTGTGTGCGCTCCAAATATTCTCAAACTCAGCTAGCGTTAAATAATAAAAAGCGTTATACAAATAAACACAGTAAAGGTAACTGTACACGGTCTCCAGTATAAAACTAACAAAACAGTGAATTGATTGAAAACATTATAATGCATCAATGCATGGAAACATCTACTTACAAAAAAACTAAGGTGTTATCAGAAAAATGAATGCGCAGGAGGAATCAATTTTGAATGTAGATGGCATTCAAGTGGTGAATGTAAATATCTCTTCAGGTTTGAGACTCCCTATCACATACTATCTGCAGGCAGATAAAGGTAATTGCATCCAGATCTATGATCTGGTGTTGAAAGATTTGAAAATCCTCTGTACTACTATAAAACAGAATTAGGGATTAGTATGTAGCAGCTTGGACAAAAAGGAATTAAATGCCGTAAAAGGTTTTAAGAATAATATAGATATCATCATTAAGGGGGCTAGTATGAGAGGTGGTATTGCCATACTTGATAGGCTCGAATATCTGAAAGTAGCCAATAAAATCTTGGGAGATAGGGAATATTACCAGGTGCTGAGGTTTGATCCTACTACTAAGTTTGTGAAAAAAGAGCTATGTGAATTGGTAGACTATGTTTATTTTAGAAATACAGTAAGAAAATGTGTTTTTTGTCAGCTCCTGGCGATATCCCTATATTCTATTATCTAGCCAAGATCCACAAGTCACTTCAAAACCCTCCTGGGCGTCCTATAATTTCCTCAATTATGTCCCTTATGGCTCCAATGTTGAGGTTGTATTCCCATTTACAGCAATATGTCATTCACTTACCTTCTTTTATTAGGGATACCGGACATGTGTTATCTTTGATTAATGAGATTGAATGGTTAGAGCATTATAGTTTGGTGTCAATTGATGTGGCTGTCCTATATTCTTATATTGACTATCGGTTGGGCTTACAGGCTCTTGAACACTACCTCTCCTCTGATCATCTATTGCCAGAAGAACAAGCTGATTCCATGTCCCGTGCATGGAGCCGCTGAACTTTCCTCATATAGATGCGCTGATTCATTTCATCTCTATGAGGAGATGCTGATTGGCCAGCACGGCGTTTAGAATCACCCCATGTCCCCTCTCATGTTGTTCATTCTAGATTTCTTGAGGGTACTTTACAGCTTTTGGTCTCGTCATGAGGAGTAAATAAGAGAAAGACTTCCAAATACTATATTAGCGCAATCTTTTCTACAGTATTCAGTCCAGCTTTTCACAAGATTATTACTGTATTTTATTATTATTATTATTTTATTATTTATAGAGCGCCAACAAATTCCATAGCGCTGTACAATGGGTGGACTAACAGACACATAATGTTCTGCCCACCTATGTTCGATCCAAAATAGGCTGATCTATGGCACATGTATCCACAGGTAGTGCACCTAACATGACCACAGCAAAAATGTCCTACCGTCAGTTCTTCAATATTAGAAGGATGATTTAATGACTTAAGTTTGGAAGGAACTAATGCATTCAGATTTTGATTCTTCCTAAATGTAACCCTATGGTTATCTGAAATACAAAATTACAGACATGGGTCCAACTTAAAGATTGGCCAATGTTTATAAAATGCTGTGACCAAAGTATCCAACGATTTAATTGCTGCTAAATCTCGCGGCCAATACTCTATCCTAATCCTCCTTGATCTTTCTGCCGCCTTTGACACTGTTGATCATCAACAGCTTCTTCACATTCTCCGTAACTTTGGTCTACGGGATACTGCTCTCTCCTGGTGCTCCTCCTACCTCTCCCAGCGCTCTTTCAGTGTTTCTTTCTCTGGCTCTGCCTCTTCTCTCCAACCCCTCCCTGTCGGCGTCCCCCAAGGTTCTGTCCTCGGCCCCCTACTGTTCTCTATCTATACTGCCTCCCTTGGTAAACTCATCAGCTCCTTTGGCGTCCAATACCATTTATATGCAGATGACACGCAAATCTACCTGTCCTCCCCTGATCTCTCTCCGCCCACCTTGACTCGTGTTTCTGACAGCCTCTCTGCTATTTCCAACTGGATGGCTGCTCACTTCCTTAAACTCAACCTGTCCAAAACAGAACTTCTAGTTTTTCCTCCCTCAAGTGCTGCTACTCCTGTGTCTGTCTCCATCCAAGTCAATGCTACTATCATCTCTACCTCCCAGGCTCGCTGCCTAGGGGTTCTTTTTGATTCTGATCTCTCTCTTTTTTTTTTTTAAATTCTTTATTTTTTAGTGCAGAGGTAAATATACGTTTCAGCAATATAACATGGCTTTAGAAAAAGATTGACAATGTTCCGTATAGCATATTCATGGTGTGCTGCACTTTTTCTTTTTTTTAACAGGATTAATATCAAGATATAAAACAGGCTTGTCAACATTTTCTGTTGTATGTATTATAACAGGAGATAGCTTTCTTCCAAGCGCATCTGAGAGGAGTGGTGGGTGTTAGGTGTCTCGAGAAGATAGGCTCTTAGGTGTGCCCTTATGATGTGTGAGAGGGTCGTATGAGGTTCTGTGTGGAGGTTTGCAGTGGCATCCCATGTGTATGCCTGTGGTATTCTGAAGGAGTTCCCCGGTGTGTGGGGTGTCATTTGCCTAGTGGCTGCGATATTAGGGTACGTGGCCAGGAGCTCTGCCAAGGCATCTGAGGGGAGATGTGTGACCTCCTCTTTATGTGTTGCCCCTAACCCAGGGGGTGTGGGGGGGGGGGAGGTTGCAGTGTCAGTGTGCCTCAAGGAGTTTGTCTCTGCAGGTTCTAGCGCTCTGGTAGAGCAGTGGTCTGGAATGTGTGTAAGAGAGATACAGAGAAATCAGAAAACCAAATATACAAATGCAACTTAAATCAAAACAGGTATAACGACTTGTGTCGAATTTGCCCCAGAAGTTTTTCATTCCGGTGCCGTGGGCATAAGCATTGGCCCAGTCCCCATTAGTTGTCAGCCGTCCGTTGCCTGTGATCCCCCGGCTCTCGGGACAAAGGGGGTGATGTGGTCAGGGTCCCACGTGCCCCTGGGGGTGGTCGACAGTGGGTCCTGATGGCTGTCCATTAGTCCCAGTGCTTGGATGAAGGCCGGTGCCCCCTCTATTGATGTGAGTGTGTGATTATTTCCATTGTGGGTTACCACAAGCGTTCCTGGGGCTCCCCAGCGGTAAG